TATATATATATATATATATATATACAATATGTTTACATTCGCGTGCGTAAAAAGTAACTGAATGTAGTCTAAACCGAGTGATGTATGCAATCTTCAGGCCATGTGTCTTGTGGGGTACCTCACTTATATCATTACCATCCCAGACCACCATAAAATACTAAATAAACAATCAATGTAAAAGAACGAAGAATAAAATTTCTACATTCAAAATATTAATTTAAAACAAGGCTCAATACAAAAGTAGAGCAGTAAATAATTATTATCCATTGTTACATTAAGACATGTAAATATCCACTACAAAATTTTGTTTCAACGATAAATCAAATGTGTCTTCAGGTAGCTAACTATGATGGTACTAAAAAGATTTTATTCAAAATCGAAATTAATGAAACACTACTTCATTCTCTGTTTTGGAAATTTTTCCATAAAAAGATAAAGGATATATATATATATATATATATATATATATATATATATATATATATATATATATTGTCAATTTAGGCAGTAACCTTTCTTTTATACACGTATTATTGAATGTGACAAGGAAAATCCTATCATTTTCTTTATTAAATTCTTATAGAACTAATGAGTATAAAAACTGCCCGTAATAATTATTGTCCCGAGTATTTTCGGACAAATCATTAGCCATTTTTAGAGCGTTCGTTGTTAATATTTTTCCCTGTGTCTATGTTCGAAGTTGTATTCTCTGGAAGTAGATGTGGTTATGATTCCATATTGAGGTGCCTGTTAAATGTCAACCAACACATTACTACCGTTGTCAAATAGTGTAAGGGTGAGGCTTAAATTGTTTTGTATAAAGAGGCTCAGTTATCTAAACACAATAATTAGTCTTGAAAATGGCAAATTACTTCGCCGAAAGTCCTTAAGACAATGATAATTACGGACATTCTCTCGACTCTCGTGGCCCCACCCAAATAAGTACATTAGAAAAACCTATATTTGGCACATTCAATGAAATGCATATATATATATATATATATATATATATATATATATATATATATATATAATGGCCTCTCCCGTCGGTTTCGACGTATGAGGATCTGACAACTTAATTGATTCAGTTATGAAAATTTGTGCGATAATCTAAAGACCCGTTTGTGATTTACAAAGGAGGCCACATATAGAGCAAGAGCAAGGATTGTGGGATGAGTTCACTGTTAGATTGGCTGACCTTTTAGATCTTGCTCTCGCTTTGTGAAAACGATTTAGACAAGCTGGTTGATATATATATATATATATATATATATATATATATATATATATATACATATATAACGGGTGTAACAGCCAAATCGTTTATCCCACAAAAATGTTTAATATTTGAAAATCCACTAAACTAATTAAGTTTCATTTTGCCAGGTTTTCAGATAAGAAGTTTGGCCATCTTCATGGCATTTATCGTAAGAATCACTGAAAAAACTTTGCAACTATTCAGCTAGAAAGAGAACACTTTAAAATAGATTTGTGTCAACCCCACTATGTCTTCCCAAGTGAGCAATGGTAAGAGGAAAAAGATAATTCAGGCCTTCAGTATTGATACCAACATTCATACTCTGATTTCCAACTTTAAAATCCATTCGAGAACCATGAAGAGAACGGTGAATAAGTTTAAAATGAGGGAATAGTAGAGAGGAAAACAGGATGAGGAGGTTGCAACAGGAAGAGGGATCATTATTTCAACTTAGTGCTAAAGAGAGATGAATTAGAAAAGATCCAACTCAGTCTATGAGGAGTTTCAGCTATGACAGTCTAAAGAGCAGCGAAAAATGGCTCGAAAATGAAATCGTGCGTGAAATGTGTGAGGCACCTTTTTACTCCAGGACATCAAGTTAGAGGTTTATACAGGGCGAAGATCATCTTGAATAAGTTGAAAAATGAGCCTAGAATAATATATATATATATATACATATATATATATATAAACTTTATTTCAGTACTTCACGAGCTTCCAATCCTTACCTATGATTAATTAATGATGAATATGTCATTTTCGTTTATGATCGATTTCATCATGCTACTTCTGTTTAGCTTAGAGAGTAATTATACATTGTTAGTGCTCCAAGTAGATTCCAATAGCATTATAAAAATTTCGAAGAATTCCAGTAAGATATCTTTATTCATTTCTAAGATACAACGGTTCAAAGCTTACTCTAACAATTGGACAATTTTGCTGTTACACGATTTGGACAATTTTGCTGTTTACACCAGGTGCGTGTACATATATATATATATATATATATATATATATATATATATATATATATATATATATATATATAGAGAGAGAGAGAGAGAGAGAGAGAAGAGAAATAGTTATTTAGTATCTCAGGAAGACGTGACTTGAGTAGACATTAAAAAAAATCACTCTTTTTACATCTTTTCACTTGTAAAAAACGATTCCCCCCGATGTCTCCGTTCAAAGAAGGTTTGCTTCATTTAATTTCGATGCTTCAAGTCAGATGTGTTCGAACGCGATGAATTAATATATTCTCCGAAATGTAATCGATTTCACTGCTTTTTCCGATACTCGAAGCCATCAGAATCGTTCCATCGAACGCCTTCCCGGGAATCTAGGTGCATAATTGTCAGTGTATTGGAAGTCTTTCAACATTAAAAATTCTTCCAGATCAAGCCTCTTTCCAAGGCTGGTTTTTGTCAAGACTAATACATTATATATATATATATATAAAGACATTTTTATGTTTGTACATTTATTTTTATAGATACAAATATTTAAGTAAATGCTCTGTTTTATAATAAACTGTATTAACAACATATACCGGCCTGAATGTCCGAGAAATTTTCATAGAAAATATGCGTCCTCCGACAAGAATCGAACCTGTATCCTATGACGGAACCGTCAGGAGCGTTTATAGCCTGTCTTGACATGATGCCATTAACCGTTTCGGCCAAATGTAAACAAAATGTCAGAGGACAATTTTTTAAGACATTTTTGGCATTCATTTGTTTACGTCATTTGTTTTGGATACGCGTCGAGCCGATATGAATGTACGTGAGAAAATCATGGAAAATTGTAGTTTAAAAACAGTAAAATCGACCTTGCTTACCGAAACGCTCCTCTGTGGCGAAATCGGTAAAAGCACGTCAGGCTATATGACGCTTCCGTATAGGATACAGGTTCGATTCCTGTCGGATGACGCATATTTTCTATAAAAATTTTTCGGACGTTCAGGCCGGTAAATGTTATTAATGCTGTTTATTATAAAACAGAGTATTTACTTAAATATTTGTATCTATAAAAAGAATGTATGAACATAAAAATGTCTTAAAAAATAATTGTCGGACTTTGTCCATTTCCATATATATATATATATATATATATATATATATATATATATATATATGAACATATATTGTTAAATATAACAGAAAATGAATATCTATTATGTACTCCGTATATTTGCTTTACTTCCGGGGGGGGGGAAATTGTCCAACATTTGGATATTTTTTTTTATTAAGCTGTTCCTTGATCTAAGCTTTCGGCTCACATGAGCCTTCTTCAGAGACATTATGTGGACTTTTAAACATTATGCGTAAATTCCAATTATATGCGTAAGCATATGTCTCTATAAATTTAGAAATGTCCGTGTTTGGTGTGCGCCTGTGTCTGTATATATTGCTTCTTATAAGTGTGTGTGTGTGTATGTGAATAATCGCTAAAAAATACACATTAAAACATTGAAAATAAATCAGAAGAAAATACGATCGATGTATCACAACCCCATAGAAATGCAGTAACTCTGATCAAATTAAGAAAGGCATGTGTGTCTGCGTACGAGCGTGCCTGTGTGTCTAGGTGACATTATTTCCAATCACGAATAGGAGTAGATAGGTTCGCCTCTCGTCCGGAGTCGTGGTTTATCCCTTGTTTCATGTTTACGATTGGGTTTCCGCTTCCTTTTAAAGTGCACTTCAATTCTAACGTCTTCATCCTCAACAACGAAATTCTGTTTACAATTTATTTTATTATTTTATCAATAGGAGTTGATAGCTTTGCCTATCGCCCGGTTCACACTCCTCCCCGGTTTTTGAACAGGAGTAGAGCTTTTTCTTTGTTTCCACTTTACAACTGAGTTTTCTGTTCCTTCTAAAGTCAGTTTCAACTGTACATCTAACGTCTCCGCCCCAATTCTGTAGTTTTATTTATTATTTTTTTTTTATTTATTCATTTTTCCTCAATAGGAGTAGATAGATTCGCCTATTGCCCGGTTCTACTCCTTCCCGTCTTTTGAACAGGAATCCTGTTTATCCTTTGTTTCCGGTTCAGGATTGGGTTTCCGGTTCTGTCTAAAACCCACTTCCTCTCTATGTTCTAACATATCCGTCTAAACAGCGAAATTTTATTTGCAATTTATTTATGTATTTTTCCTCAATAGGAGTAGATGGATTCGTCTGTTGTCTGGTTCACATTGATTTGAAGAAAATGCAACTGATATATCACAAGCCTGAATGAATGCGATAAATCTAACCAAATTTAAGAACGGCCTCTGCGTCTGCGTGACATTATTTCCTATCACCAGTAGGAGTAGACAGGTTTGTCTATCGTCCGGTTCACACTCCTCCCCGTTCTTTTGAAAAGTAACAGAGGTTTATCGCTTGTTTCCTGTTTAGGATTGGGTTTCTGGTTTCTTCCAAAGTCTTTTCATTACTTTACGGTCAGTGACCCCCTTGTGACTTTGTGGTAATATCGCCTTTGTTTAGGGCGAATTTATTAAAAATAACTACTCTAAACGTTATTTTGTCGATACTCATATTTCAGTAGATGACCTGTTAGTAATAATGAAGCTAGTATTTGGATTTTTACTTCAATATCATTTTCATAAAAAAAACTAAGTACAAGTAAAAGTATTCAGTTGATTGATATTTTAGGAATTTAATGGTTAGCAAGCTGGAAGACAAAATTGATACGGCAAATTTGAATTCATAGTGGAGATGTTTATATTCCTTTCATATCATTGCCAGACAGAGATAGATAGATAGATAAAGACTGAGATAGATAGATAGATAGATAGATAGATAGATAGATAGATAGATAGATAGATACGAATAGACTGAGATAGATAGATAGATAGATAGATAGATAGATAGATAGATAGATACGAATAGATAGATATGAATAGATTGAAATAGATAGATAGATAGATAGATAGATAGATACGAATAGACTGAGATAGATAGATAGATAGATAGATAGATAGATAGATAGATATGAATAGATTGAAATAGATAGATAGATAGATAGATAGATAGATAGATAGATACAGACATACATACATACGAATAGACTGAGATAGATAGATAGATAGATAGATAGATAGATAGATATCAATGAATCGACTTAGATAGATAGATAGATAGATAGATATGAATAGACTGAGACAGATTTATATTGACAGTGTGAATTGAGTTTACCGATCTGCGCATTCAAGAGACTCAATAAATAAAAATGCCCTCCGATAGAATTCGAATCTCTACTTCCCCCCCACTTTATAGGAGAACAGATGTCAATATTTAACATTAATGTGACAGCAAATAATAATCCGATTAATTAATGCTAATTTGCTTTTTAGAAAATCGACATATGTATTTAAGGTTTTGTTTCCTTTAATAAATGCCATTTCTTTCATATTATTTGTTCATCAGACAATTTCAGAGAACAAAAGATGAAGATAACAACGGACAAGTCATAATCATAAAACTAGCGGCAATATGTTGATTGTGAACCTACAGTATGGTTTAACTCTGTTGTCTCAAACGCCATGATAACTGTAGAGATTTAGGTTCTCACTGGGGGTCGTCAACACTTGTGGCCTTGGGAAAGACTAAGTGAAACTTAGTAAAGATAAAGCTAATATTTGCAATTTTCCTCCAATATCATTTTCATAAAATAAACTAATTACTAGTTGCAGTATTCAGTAGTTTGCTATTTAGTAAAACTAGTCGATAGGGGCTTTAATGTTTATCAAGTTGGAAAACAGAAATGATATAGCAATTTTGAATTCAGAGTGAACCTGTTAATAGACATTTCATATTATTGCTAGACGGAGATAGATAAGGATTGAGATAGATAGATAGATAGATAGATAGATAGATAGATAGATAGATAGATAGATAGATAGATATCAATAAATCGACTGAGATAGATAGATATCAATGAATCGACTTAGATAGATTGATAGATAGATAGATATGAGTGAACCGACTGAGATAGATAGATAGATAGATAGATAGATAGATAGATAGATAGACATGAATCGACTGAGATAGATCAATGCGATTTGAAAAAAAGTAGATTGTGAGGGAGAATGTGAGTAGACTCAGATTTTGATATGACTAAAATAAATACACACACACACACACACACATATATATATATATATATATATATATATATATATATATATATATATATAGAGAGAGAGAGAGAGAGAGAGAGAGAGAGAGAGAGACACGCAAAAGTTGGCCCGAAAGCAAAGCTTGATTTTTTTTTCAATTACAGAAGTATGAATATGAAATGGAAACAAGTAGTTGTCGTCGAAGTTCTTGACCAAATAAGTGTGTACATTGCTGGCGGCATCCATAGAGAGTTCAGAATTGCGTATGGCGTGGCGACAATTGATGGGGGGGGTTCATGTGTAAAGATGGGTGAAGAAGATGAAGAATCAACACCTGGGTTGAAGTGAAACTACGAAATGGCAAGCCAACGTTTTACAGCAAGAGTGCCTGAAAGACTTTTGCAAAATGGATTTGACAAGCGGGGTCAAACATTGGTGCAAATGCATCGCCACAGGTGCAGACCGCATTCGAATGGCCACTGTCTTGTAGACAAATATTTTCTCTGCAGATATATCGACTTGCATATGCTTCATGTTATTATTACTAAAAGTGATATGACATACGTTTCAGGACAACTTCCAGTGATAGATAGATAGATAGATAGATAGATAGATAGATAGATAGATAGATGAATAGATAGATATCAGATGTGCATCTTAAATTGTTCATATTGATTTTTTTCCACTCTTAGTCAGTCATATACATATATATTACACACACGTACACACACACACATATATTTTATATATATATATATATATATATATATATATATATATATGTGTGTGTGTGTACATAATAATATATATATATATATATATATATATATATATATTTGCCTTTTAAAGAGAGAAGTCGAAATCAACATGAACGATATAATTACGCACCTGATACACCTTTATTCTTTCTGAAAAGGGAAGAGGGAGAAATAACAAAGAGACGGAAGTAATTGAACTGATGAACAGGTCATTGTCTATAGATAGATAGATAGAGAGAGAGAGAGAGGGAGGGAGAGAGAGATAAAGATTGAGATATGAATCGACTGACAAAGATAGACATGTAGGAAAAGACTGAGATAGATAGATAGATAGATAGATAGATAGATAGATAGATAGATAGATAGATAGATAGATAGATAGATATAGAATTATGTAACTATTTGACGACTTTATATTGACATCAGCAATAATTTCATTTTCGATAATTTAATTTTGATTTCCTTCCGATTCAATGAATTTGTCGGTAAGAACTTCGTAGGACTTCCTTCAATCTGTGTGTGTGTGTGTGTGTGTGTGTGTGTGTGTGTGTGTGTGTGTGTGTGTGTGTGTGTGTGCTTATTTGTGTGTCTGTGTGCCTTTGTCTTTATGTCCGTGTGTTTGTGTCTGTGCATGCGTGTGTATGATATTGAACATATTTAACCCCAGGCAGCTTTTCCGATTGGAAATAATCTAACATATTTGGAGGCAGACGACGCGACCAGAGGCAAGTAAGGAAATAATTTTGACAGTTTTATACGTTTATGCGCATGCGTGGTCTGTAATTTCTCTCAGAGAATGAGAAGCCATATAAGTACGAGAGAAGCCCAAAAAAGCAAGGGACAAACATTTACTAACCCAAGACGTTTATTACTATACAATTAAAACCTTGTACATATATTATTATATATTGCCAACACTACAATCTCACGATGTCACTATAAACTTCCATCTCAAAAATCATGGCATCAAGCGAGCGAAGCGACGCTTGTACGCCTAAAACAACAGCATCCTCAGTCGTTGGATGCGGAAAAAAACAAGCATATCGATCAGCATATCAAGCAATATGGTTGTTTTTTCTCTAACGATAAAATTGTGGGAAATGATTGCGTGTAGCAAGGGGCAACTTTGCGCAAACATCCAGGTTTAATTTAAAATAAAACCTATCCTCAGCGGGTCCAATATTTTACAGAAGCTAACTGCGTTAAATATCTGAATGCAGTCGTCATCAATTTCTTCGTTGTCTGCTTGTAATTTTTGAGACGTCGGTGGCGATGAATACTATTAAGTCATAGATTCAGATAATCCATATTAGCTTTTCTTATAGCCTTGGGAAGGCTGAAAAGAAACGTCAATTTCTATTAGAACCAATGTTAGATTTATGACTTTGGCAAGGAAGACTCGTCTTTCATCGCGCATTTGTGTTTTTTTTTCCTATTTCATGGTGACTGCCATTTTTGTGACGTCACATACACAGACGGACAATATTAAACATTTTGTAAATATTATAAGGATTTCTAGACCCATTTTTTGTGTTTTTAAAGTTTTCAGATTTTAATTCCTCTCTCTCTCTCTCTGTCTATCTGTCTCTCTACCTATCTATGCAATTATTAATCTATCTCTCGCTCTTTCACTCTCTCTCCACATATATATATATATATATATATATATATATATATATATATATATATATATATATATATCAAGTATAGGATTGGTGTATACAGAATAAATTCAATAACCAACAATTACTATTCTTAAAAGAGTGCTCAATACAGAGTAGAGCAGATATAATTATTTAATTAAAAATTATAACAATTACAATGGTGTCTTATCAAGTGATGATGTTGAGATACATTCAACATCATCATGATACAAACCAAAAAAATTGAAACAAAATGGCTATTTTTGTAATGATTTTATAACATATTTATGTTATAATTTTAAAAAAATAAATATATATATATATATATATATATATATATATATATATATATATATATATATATAAGGAATAGCTTATAGTAGTTCCAACGAGAGAAAAAAGTTTGTATATTAAAAAGAAGAGAGATACCGCATATAATCAACAAATTTAATTTGTTCGTTACATACCATTTATAAAGAATGCTTATTGCTACTTGTTTCATATTAATCGCCCCATTTTACTAGTGCTATATATATATATATATATATATATATATATATATATATATATACTACTTTCCCATGGTTGAAATGATCATCTGTATGAGGTAAATTGTTTGGATCTCATTAATTTGTAATTAAGAGTAATTGTATATATACAGTGAGCGGCAGAAATACCTCCCTCATAATTGTCAGATATTAATAGCAATTTTATCTCTTTATCATATATATATATATATATATATATATATATATATATATATATATATATATATATATTGTGTATATTTAGGCAGCAATTTTCATTGATGCATGTTTCATTAACAATTAAACATGTATCAATATAGTGTTTTCCTTTCGTCTTTCAACGATAATGTGATTAAGCTTATCAGACCAGAAAGGAATTTACTTAAAATAACTAGACAAAACTTGTCGAGATTATTTATTTATCATGCATTATATATATATATATATATATATATATATATATATATATATATATATATATATATATATTAAAGGTAGCAAATCCGTTGGTATATAATCCATGGATCATAGTAATATAAAATATTGAAACTGATCTGCAAAAAGACCTCTGTGTATTTATGAATGCAGAGCAAATAAATAATAAACAATAAAATCCAAAATTAACTCATATGGGGAATAGTTGATTTCGTCTGCCGAAATATATTATAGAGATACATTACAGATCCTCCATTGAATTTGTCAAGGATCTCGAAATGCACAGCAAGAGCACCAAACCAGCTATAGTAATGCATAGGTGTATGGTAGGTTTGTAGATGTGCAAGAAGGATTCTAACGACATATTGATCCAACTTTCCTTGCAGTAGATGCAGCTATGGATTCGATGTAGTCGTTCCACTTCAGGGTAGAAACTGAGGCCGAGAATGTGCAGTGTTTTGATCTCCTGGAACCTGCACAAATAAGAAAATGAATCTGAATCTAGTTTGGATTGTCTATACAAATACCAGGAGGAACGGTGGAGCAATGGATAGCGTCTCGGATTGGGGAATCGAGAGAGAATCAGAGAGCCGAGTTCGAATTCCAGTTGAATCCATTCCATTCACTTACGTTCTAATATCCTTGTGAAAGGTATGAATTCTCTTCTTCTCTCTCCAGCTATGGGTAAACTGGTCTACTGCAGGAAGAAATGGCAACCTACTGCGGGAAAAATATGCCACGTCAGTCATGGATCGAATGATACATGATGACCTAATCGTGTATCACGCATGGCACCTAACTGACTGATACAAGTGGTTCCCAAGCGATTTGGGGTCATGAGCAACTTTGGTATTTTTAAAATTCTGGGGTCCATCCTGTAATATTTAATTCTTACAGATTCAAAATTTTACTGCAATTTACGTGAAGGAAGCTTAAAAGGCAATAAACTTGGTCTCTAAACAAGCCTCTAAAGACGATGGCGTCCATGAAAGAGAAAAATTAAAAAAACAAAAAGACAGTTAAATATATATAGTTTCAAAACATATAACAGAGAAGTGAAAGGTAGAAATATAAAATATTTGAATGAAATCTTATTCTGTAATATACTTTTGATCATTTTAATCATGAAATAATAATGCCAAATGAAATTTGATCTCATCACAAAATGACCGTTAGTGAGATCCTCGTGTGTGATGCCTGCTACAGATAGATTTTATATTAGACACCAATTTAGTCAGCTTAAACCTCAAGTCTCCTCGTTTAGTGATATCCAGTTGATTTCTTTTCTTCAATAACAAATCATTTACAGCACTAAAGCCACATTCTAACACACCTCGTTCTTTATAAAGGATCTGGACGACATGTATGACGTTCATATGAGAGTTTAGAACTGAAAGGTAGAAATATAAAACATTTGAATGAAATCTTATTCTGTAATATACTTTTGATTATTTTAATCATGAAATAATAATGCCAAATGAAATCTTAGCTCACGTTGGTCTAGTAAACTATTGAGTCGTGCTAGATAAAAAGTAAACATCTAAAGCAGTGGATCCCAATCGATTTGAGGTCATAACCCACTTTGATATTTCTCCTGTAATATTAAATTCTTACAGATTCAAAATTTTACTGCAATTTACGTGAAGGAAACTTAAAAGGCCATTAATTTGGTCTCTAAACAAGCCTCTAAAGACCATGGCATCCATGAAAGAGAATAATTAAAAAAACAAAAAGACAGTTAAATATATATAGTTTCAAAACATCTAATAGAGAATTGAAAGATAGAAATATAAAATATTTGAAAGAAATCTTATTCTGTAATATACTTTTGATCATTTTAATCATGAAATAACAATGCCAAATGAAATTTGAGCTCATCACGAAATGACCTGGTGTGTGATGCCTGCTACAGATAGATTTTATATTAGACACCAATTTAGTCAGCTTAAACCTCAAGTCTCCTCATTCAGTGATATCCAGTTGATTTCTTTTCTTCAATAACAAATCATTTACAGCAAAATATGAAGATGGATATGGTTACAGCAAATTAATGTTAATAACTCATTCTCGTATTGCCCCTTAATCTCTTGCCATAATAAGCCGAAGGGTACACATCCTACGCATACCCTAACAAAATATTACCATGCACCACCGGTGAGACATGTGCCCCACCGGTCGGAATCATTGCCCTATACCCTGATGACTGGCTAATCAGCAACAAATATTGGTGTACTCAGTGTTGCGATGTTTTCCATCCTTCACTTTGATCAATGACATCTAGACGTTGTGCCACAATATCCCTTATATGGGTTCGTACTCAGTGAGAATCTTTCCATGAATTTCTTTGGTTTGTAAGGCTCAGCTACACAATGCTTTTCGCCAGCTGATGATTACTCTGTCCTAAGATCACCACTGTCAAATACTTATCCCCCCACCAGAAAGCCATTCCGTCTCGAAAATGCTCGGACAATGTTTTGTTTACAGACGATCGAGCTTTATCAACGTCACTCAAATCGTTTTCCGAGTATATAACTACAGCATTAGGCACATCGGAATGAAATATTCGAAGCCGAGTTTCAAACTTATATTCGTCATGTATACGAAGACCGCGCGCTACATTAAGAATGCTCCTCATTGACTAAAAATTTTTATCACATGACCAAATTTATCATTTATCATATATGATTTTCTTTCCTCGTTTAATGATAATGTCATTAAGCTTATCAGAGTTTATGAAAAGAATTTACATAAAATAAATAGACACCACTTGTTTATATTATTTAATGAAACATGTATGAATATATATATATATATATATATATATACATGTTGTTATATATGTTTGTTTATGGTATAAAATGACAATTGGAAAAAAAACTTAGATTTTGCCGACGCGTTTCGTGTTCCGATTTTTTCAAGGCAAAAATGAAATCGAAATGTTTTTGTTGTTAAAGTTTCATTTAAAAAAGTCCAAATTTAAAAAGATATACCAATTTGTCTTGTCCACAGAATTGATCGGGGAATTTAACGATAGATAGCTAGATGTTTGTTTAAGTATAAAAGTCAACACTTAGAGGCGACAGTCTGTTTCATGCTAGACGCAACCGTCAGGCCAGCCGACTATTGCGTCGAGCATGAAACAGTCTGTCGTCTCTAAATATTGACTTCAATGTTCACTTTTATATTTACACACGCTCTATCTCTGATATTGAGCACTTTATTCCATAAATATAGCGCACCTTAAGACTATATTTCTTCATATATGTTTGTTTATATATATATATATATATATATATATATATATATATATATATATATATATTGTTATGGGACCTTACCCATAATAACATAATGGACTATGAAGCAGGGGAGTTCAGTATGAAGTCTGGAGTGAAGTCCGTCATGAGTCTGTCAGTCAGTCAGAGCAGGCAGAGTCAGTCAGTCGAGTC